AACACATCTGAAAAATTAGAATGTGATTTGATCAGGTAACAGTCTTCCCCAAGATGCTGTAAGTATGATTAATCAGCAACTCACATTTGCCATTCTTCTGATCATACGTTGATCCTCTTAGAATAATGATTTTAAATTAAAGGGAGTTAGCTCAAGGGGAAAAATAAATATACAGGTATCTTCTGCTTTTCGAAAATTTGCATTATACCACTTTGCTTTATGGAAGACCTATATTAGTACCTGTTTTTGCTAACAGAAAGAAATCTGAGGAGGATTTTCACTTTTAGGGAAAAAAATGTGAAAAGGGAAAATTGCATTCAGCATTTGTTTTGCAGTGAGCTCTTGTAGAGGCAGCACGTACCCTGAGCTTCTCTCCCTGGAACCATGCTCAGCATCAAGCCGTCATAGCTTTGAACTGTGTTTGAGAGCATCTGTACTTTATTTTATCTTGATTTATTTTGTGCATTCATTAACAAGATGTGTCCTGAGGTATCAAAAGCCTTAAGAGGGGTTACTTTTTGGGTCTGGAAATGTTAAAAAATTTTCCATGTAAATTAATGGCAGTTTCTTTTTTGCTTTACAGCATTTTGGCTAACGAAAGATTTCATGGGAAGGCTGTACTTTTAGATAGCTGGGGAAACCTATACGTGGTCTGATACTCATATAGACGGCAATGGGAATCTCAATTAGGTTTTTCATCTCAGTCCATGATGTTTGCCAAGCTCGCTGGAATTAAAACCTGTGCTCCTATACCCCAGAATTGTTAGTCTCTTCCATAATAAGATGGGACTTAATTTTTTATGGTCTCAGTAAAACATTCAAATAATTACATAGTCCCATTCATACATAGCTCTTTTCCAAATGGCAGGATGTATCACAAAGTGAGTAACAGTGATTCTGGGGAAGAATATGATTAATTGCCTCATCTTGAGGAGTGAAGGTCCTGGAGAACTCTACTTCTCCTAGATCAACTTCCTCTGGCACTTTTAGATCAGTGTCAAATGTAACTGATCCTACCTCCGTTCATCCATATTCCCTGGACTTGCTCTGTACCTGAGGTTTAGATTTATTCATATTGATCTCATCCTGGTTCAGATCTCTAGGTTTGTTTTGAAAAGAATTTCCTTCCTTCTTCCTCCTCTTCTTTCTCCTTTGGACTCCTAGACACCTTATTCTGAAGTCCAAACATTTTATCCTCAGTTTCCCAAGCATACCCAGGCAGTAGTTTCCAAATTAGGATTTGCCTCATAATCCCCTGGGGGAACTTGTAAAAGCAACAGTTCTCAGATTTTAGTCTGATTGGAATCTTTCTAGCTGCAAAAGATAACAGAAGAATAGCCAGAAACTATTTATTCATTCATTTGTTCCTTCAGCAATTTTTGAATAGAAAAAATTCAGTGCAATGTGCCTGGCTGTGTACTAGGTGCTTAAGAAGATCCAGATGTAAATGGAAATGGGTTTTGCCTTTAAGGGATTTATGGTCCCTTAAAGGTGGGAAGTTAAGTGGGAAAGATGAATAGGTAAAGAAAGGTGCTAAGGCACAGAGGGAGAATTTAATTTTGCTCACGAGACTTGAAACAGATAGGGACAGGAATTTCCTGAGAAGAGAAAGACATTCAAAGCAGAAATCCCTTATGCAAAGGAATGGAGATGTGAGAGGGGTAGGAGTACCATGTACTGGTAACTGCAAGGAGTTCCTCATGTGTGTAGTGAGAATGAGAAAACAAGAAGCAAAAGTAGCTATAAGTGGTAAAGGAATAACACAAGAACATTGCCCAGAATTAAAAGATGAGAGTTCGCTGGGAGTACAGGCTGAGAGAGTTCACCGAATGTCCTACCAATGAATGAAAAAGATTCATTCCTAAATATGCCCTATTAGTCTCGGGCATCCAGAAATGAATACAGGGTCCTAAAAGCTTTCAGAGAGAAGGTAATAGTGTGAAAAGGATTAGTTACCAGAGCAGTATCAGGCTGCTTTACAGCCACATTAGAAATTAGAAGACTATGAAGTAATACTTTTAAAATTATAAGGAAAATTATTTCCTACCTAGAATTGTAAACTCAGCCACGCTGCCAATGAAGACATTTTAAGACACACAGATTCTCAAAAAATTACGTTCTGGGTACTCTATTAGGTTGCTAATGGGAGATACACACTGTCAAAACAGAGAAACCAGGGAATTCTAGGACAGGGGTTCTCACAGAGGAGAAGGTAAAGGAAATTTTAGGATGATCATGAAAGGAAGTCCCAGTCCAAGTCAGGCCTAGAGAACAACCATTCCAGCCAGATTGAATTGAGATGTAGAGTATAGGAGGAATGTCTTTAACAAAAAAATAGAACAACCTCCCCCAAATGACCTGATATTTTTATTTTATTGAGAGGAGTTTTGCCATTCTTGGGAGAGTTTAATGAGGTGAATAAGTGCTAAGTATATAAAAAGCTAAGCAAATAACAAAAACAGAACAACTAATAACTCTAGGAGAAACAAAAAGTTGTCCAAGAAAGGAAAAGTCATTGAATCCTACAGAGCATTCCTAGGAATATTTACTTTGTCAGCCTACTATTGACTTAACTAGATGTTACAATATAGGTGGAAGCTGGGACGATTGGGCAAGTGTGACATATTTCTATGCAAAGAGGTGAAAGGGGTATATGAGAACTAAATCCTTTTTTCCACAGGAGAAGTTAATAGATAACATCTGAAATGGAACAATCAAGAAATAGCAATATGATCACACTTTTTAGAAATACAGAGGTAAATAGCAGAAGAAAATGCTAAAAGAGTTGAAATTAGTTCCCTCTGGAGAGAGAATAAGGTGTGGGGAGGGGTGGAGCGGGAGAGTTCTATTTTTTTATTACAAGCTTTGTAGTCCTATTTTATTTTTATACTTTGATAAAAATAAAAGCAATTAATAACAACATAGATGGACGTAGCATCTGTAACGTGGAGGGAATCTTGCAAGTGGTGCTTTGCCTTTTATTGAACAAACTTCTTAGCTTGCATATTCTATGTACTTACCTTTGGCACATTCCTAAATTTTTTCCAAACTTTCTTCTTTTCTATGATTAACTGAATGTGAACTGAAACAAAAGTTAGTAAGGTGAATTGTTGACTTACATATGTATAGACTAAAGCTGGATGCTATGGGCTTCCCCCCAACCCACCCCTGTATTTTTGTGTAGACAGTAAGCTTTTAAACTTTAGGATAAATAAACAGTCCTCTCTCTTGCCTTCTCCCCAAAGTAGAGCAGAGTTTGATGTTATGTAAGAAATCAGCACTCTTGAGGTGTCTGGCTGGCTCAGTAGGTAGAGCATGTGACTCTTGATCTTGGGGTTGTGAGTTCAAGCACCACGTTGGGCTTACTTAAAAAAAAAAAATCAGCATTCTTCAGTGACATGATGTTCCTAAAATGGGATTGCTAGTCAGCTGCACATTAAGATCTCTGAGCTGACTGTGGACATCACTCAGCAAAGCTTCAAGTTGTTTATGAAGAAATTTTGTCAATTTTATAGATACAAACTGTCCCCTCCACTTTTTTATTTTGAAAATAATCAAACCCCACAGAAAAATGGAAAGAATAGTGAAACACTCATATAACTTTTGCCTAGAATCACTAGTTCTTAACATTTTGTTACATTTGCTTCCTCTCTATGCCAGTGCCCTGTTTTTAGAGATTAAGGAGCAGGGGTTTGAACCATTTTAAATTAAGTTGTAGGTATAATGCTTAAATATGTCTCCCAGTAGATCTCCCAGTAACAAGGACATCCTCCTACTGAACCAGAATACTATTATTATCCATGGGTAAGATAATAATACCTAATATATAGTTAGTGTTCAATTTTCTCTAAAATCCCAATAATACTTTCTGTAGATTTTTTTTTTCCAGAGTCCAGTGTTCATTCATTGCATTTAGTCATCATATGCTAGAAGTTTTCCTGCTTTTTTTTTTTTAAGTCTCTCATGACTTTGACAGTTATGAAGATCCCAGACCAGTTGTTTTGTGTACATATGCATTTGTCTTTCTGCACCCACACTGTGAGATTCTGGTAAGAATCTGTATACAAACTTTTGTTCTCCACCTGCTTTTTATGCAGGTTCAACATTTTAGTGTTTTATTTTCTTGTTTTCTTGTTTTGTTTGTATGTTTTTGTTTTGTTTTTCCTGGGAATCTGTGGTTTGGCATGTGGTGTAAAGAATGACCACTTACCCAGAGAATAGTAAAACTCCTTAGACTGCAGAAAATATCACCGTAATAATCTCTGGGAGAGGTAATCTGTTCCTCTGGAAACAACATAATATTTTTTTTTTTTTTTTACACTCTTGGCAGAGGTTTTTGGATGACTTAATATTGTAATCAAGGGCAAATTTTCTTCTCTTTAATTAAGTCCTGCTACAGTATACAGTCCAGGGAGCCACTTGTGGAAAACACTTGGCCAGCTTTGCTATCCCCGAGCTGAACGCTTGCTTTTGGAATCTAAACACCGTATGTGTGTTCCCTCCGCGGCATTTGGGCTCTCCTTGGGGCAGGATGCTCCGTTGCGTAGGTGATGTATATTTCGTGTGAAGTGAGCACACTGTGGGAGAGCCGGCATACCTCACATGCCGGGAGAGCTATGCAAGTTTGCTGTGGAAAGCATGCTTCCTGTGTGTCAGGGCTCCCTCATAGACCTGGTGACACAGTAGCCTTTAGGCAGAGCTCCTCGGGATGTGCAGGAAGTGCCGCTACAGGTTTTGTCGGGGGAGAAATCTGAGCCATTGCTCTGTGAACAGCTGTGTTTCAGAGCCTGGACAAGTTGCTGTCAACTTTTGCATGGGCTGCCGGGGTAAGTGTTTTCATTTTGATTTGTTTATAGCCTTGTTGTCCTTGCTCCTGAGTCCTCAGGGTTCTTTCTGGAAGTTTCACAGTGCTTGTTACACATTACCTACAGCAGCATTCAGAGGATTTGTTCTAATATGTTTATAATCCAACTTTTCTTTGTCTCTGCAGGTGTTGTGGAAGTCTAATACTTCGTCATTATGAGATGTCGTCTCTCGGTACCTCCTTTGTGCAAATCAAATTTGATGACTTGCAGTTTTTTGAAAACTGCGGTGGAGGAAGTTTTGGGAGTGTATATCGAGCCAGATGGATATCCCAGGACAAGGAGGTGGCTGTAAAGAAGCTGCTCAAAATAGAGAAAGAGGTAAGGCCTTTCCCTGCTCTCAGAACTGGTGGCGATTGCGCTTATGTAAGCTTTTCCACCGAGTCAGAGGTCACAGGCTGCCGGGGACCTAGCGAGCGAGGCCTTTGGGGCCGATCCATGAGGCTGTTTCCCAGTTTCCATTCTGGGAGCCCCATAAATAGAAATCACGGCCGCATGTGCTTTAGGGTTGAGTTCTAGGGGTCATCTGCACGGAGAGTGTTTCCTTCCATGGCATGAAAGACCGAATGTTCTCTGAGCTCTCTTCGAGGGGAAGGTGAGGTTTCAGACCTTCCTTGGCTTCAGGCTTTTCTTTTCCCTAGGTCAGCCGAGAGGGGTCAGTAAAGAGTAATGTGTGAACATTTTATTCCCTTTTTATTTTGGGTTTCGTGAATCTGTGGTTATCAGGAGTTGTCTGTTAAAAACTAAAAAGCATTATTTTTCTACTGAAATGAAACAATACCAGCTTCTTGGATTTCACCTCTACTTGAAGCCAACAGTGATGGTTTTTGTTTAATGAAGAATTAACAGATGCTGGACAGAGAGCTGTCTTCTTTGTAAAACCAGAAAAGGGTCTTGGCTTCCAGAGTCTGGGGCTTAGGCTGGTCCTAGTGGGCCCTTCATCTTCCTTAGGAATATGACACAGCTTGGTCCCCATGTTCAGTTTGGTACCTGGAGGATGAAGCTAATTGTGGAGCTGACCTGCAGGCATGGCGTTGATAGCTTTTAACAGCTACCCTCTGGAGCTTGTTTTGGTCATTTCTATTTATGTCCTGTTTGGGTTAATTATTATTTTTTTTCAATGTCTTTTTTTAAAGTGAACTTTTCTATAAATACATTTTAATCTCCCCTGAATGATTTCATTTTTTTTTTTCATTAACTGCTGTCAGTGAACCGTAGCAATTGATTAGAGAAGGAAACCCAAATGGCAGCACTTTGTGGTGTTTCCTCCCAGCAGTGCTGTGTGACTGTGTGATCACCAGCTGAGTTTCCAATTGTTGAAGCCAGGTCAGAAGGACTAAGCTATTTCTGCCTTGGGGTACCTGTAGGTTGTGGAAAGCATTAAGGAGCCCATATGTGCACAAAACGGGAGCATGCTTTGTATAGAAAGTTTCCTCCCCTCATTTCTTGATCAACACATTTTTCGTAGTAGCCAAATAGTAAAACCATGTCTTACTCTGGATGGAACCTAGCTTCGTTTATCTAGTGAACTCTTCAGTCCTTTATAGGTAAACATTATTGTACCCATTTTATAGCTGGAGAAATAGAGGTTTGAAAAACATAGTAAGCTTCCTCAGGAGGGGCAAATGAATTCCAGGAAATCAGACCCCCCGTTCGGTAGTTCTCAATTCCGAAACCTGTAGGTGACCAGGTTAGATGGAAAATAAACCAATTCCATCAAATTCATATTCAAAAAAGTATATAAGCATGCTAATATTTGTAAGCATTAGGTCATGCATGCTTAAGTACAACAAGCGTGTTCTTATATGATTGTTGGATGCGACACTTTTTGAGTTATAGAACAGATTTTGACAGGAAAACAGTAATTGCTGTGTTCACTCCACACCTCCCCCCAACCCCATACATAGTGCCTTTGTTTTGTTTTGTTTTCTAATCTTTAAGAAAGCTAATAGAATGACCTAGGAAAGCACAGGGGTGAAAGCAGGAATTGGAAAATGCCAAGTCCTGCTCTCATGTAGGTATTTAACCTAAATGGTTATCGTTCAGAAATTGAGTGGATTGTAGTAAACGGTAGGAGCATAACTCATAAATTTTAGGAAAAACACAAACTCAGTTTCAGCTTTGGGGCTTGGTTTAGCCAGTGATTGTCAGTGATAAAGAGACATGGTAAATTATTGCAAAGCATCCCTCCTTGAATCAACAGGAGTTTAAGATGTAAAAAATTTTGGCTAGGGGTTGGGAGGTATTGGAAAGGAAGTATGCATTTCTTAGTTTGATTTTTGTTCTACTTTGTGAACTATGTATTGGCTTGCTGGCTGGGTGTTTTCTAAGTAAGATAAAAGCAATAAGCTCTAGATTTTTTTCCAATGTGTAGATTCAGTCTTCTGTTTCTTGGTCACTTTTTTGCCAAGAAGCAATGGGACATTTAATAATATGTTTGCAGCTCATTCACGTACCTCTTTAAGGTGACTTGATATCTGATGAAATATGTTTTATGAACTTAGTGAAAGGTGGAGAAAATATTTATCAGGCTCCCTTAACTTTGCTTATGTGAGGGGATAGAAGACCTTTGTGTTTGCTTTTTTTTGTAGACCTCTGATTTAGTGAGTATGTATTACTTTTCTCTGCTTTAGTGAGTACATATTACTTTTTTAATTTAGAAGAAAAGAAAGAAAAATGGAATTTACTTAAAATCTAGGTAGTTCTTTAAAACTTAATTAAAAAAAAAACTTTTACACCTAGGGAAAAACTCCAAGAATAGTACCGTGAACTCTAGCTTATCCTTTCCCTAGAATCACCACTAATTAACATTTTTCAGCATTTGCTTTCTTTTTATATATCAAGTTGTATGTATTCCTATTTTATTGAACCATGAGAGTAAATTGTAGATGCTGTGTATATAACATCTGTATTTCAGCATCTCCCAAGAATGCAACCATAATACAACTATCAAATCAGAAAATTTAACATTGATGCAATAATATTACCTACCTCACAGTCTATATTCAGACTTTGTCAGTTGTCCCAATAAGGGCTTTTTATGGCAATTTTTCAACCCAGGATCCAATCAGGATCACATATTGTGTTTAATTTATATATCTGTTTAATTGAACAGTTTCTCTGCCTTCGTCTTTTAAACTTTGACATTTTTGAAGAGTATGGGATTGTTGGGTAGAATGGCCCTCATTTTGGGTTTATCTGATTTTCCCTTCCTTTTGCCTAGTTTAAGATAATGTAGAATTAAGATAATGTAGAATATTTTGGTAGAAATATTGCATAGGTCATATGCCCTTGGCATATCTTAATGGGAGACTATGATGTCAGTTTGTCTTGTTATTGGTGATACTAATACTTTTGAACCTTTGATTAAGAAGGGTTTACCCAATTTCTCTATAGTAAAAATACCCTTTTCCGAAAACTCTTTGTAATTAATCATTAAGCTGTTGGAAGATACTCTGAGGCTATGTAAACATCTTCTTTCAACAAGTGTTACCCAATGCTTTTAGCATCTGTTGGCAATTCTTGTTTGAACCAGATGTTATTATGACAGTTACTATGTAGAAAGAAAAGTTCTAGCATAAATGAGAGCCTTCCTTTCTTTACTTATTCACCCATTCATTTGTTTATCGTTTCATTGTGGACTTACGGATTCTTTTTCAAATTGAAAATGTACCATTATATTACTATTGTTACTTTCAAGCTTAAATTGTCCCAATTGAGCAAGTTAGAGTCCCTTCAAGTTAGCTCCTTTGCCCTTTGGTATGTCTCCATCACTTTTTAGCATTTTTTTTTACTTCCTGGCACAAGATTTTCCAGGCTCATCTAGTTCCTACCTCATTCCTGGAATCATCCCTTTCTTCAAGAATCCCTGATCCAGGGTACCAGAATTGGGACTGTGATATTTAGAAACCAAGATTTGGATGCTGGTTTTGCATATTGTAGACTTTCTTTTAAAAAAGAGCCTTTATGGGGTGCCTGGATGGCTCTGTGGGTTAAGCCTCCGACTTCGGCTCAGGTCATGATCTCACGGTTTATGAGTTCGAGCCCTGCATAAGGCTCTGTGCTGACAGCTCAGAGCCTGGAGCCTGCTTCAGATTCTGTGTCTCCTCTCTCTGCCCCTTCCCAACTTGTGCTCTGTCTCTCTATATCTCTCAAAAAATAAATAAATGTTAAAAAAAAAAAAAGAGCCTTTGTTCTTTGGGAGAAAGAATAGTTATAAACTTTACTTATGGAAGCATTTAATTCAAATGTTAGCTATGATCTGTGATACACTCCTGTTAGGAGTGTAAATTGGTAAGCTTCTTGGAAAGAGATTAGCAAAATGCATCAAAATTTTTAAAATATTTACTTTCTTTGAGCCAGAAGTTTTACTTCTATGACTTCATCCTAAAGAGGTAGTCAGAGATATGCAGAGAGATGGCTACAATAGCTGCTCATCTCAGATGATTAATGGTGAAGAACTGGAAACAACCCAAGTGTTCTTTAACAGATTATCTTTTAAATTACGCTACATCTCTCACACACACACAAAGGCAGATATGGAAGGTGATGGATGTGTTACCTCCATTGTGTGAATCTTTTCACTGTGTGTACGTATAGTAAAATCATCATGTTTTATACTTTTAAAATATTACAATTTGTTGAGTATATCTCAGTAAAGCTGAAAAAAGTATTCTACCTCTGTATAATAGAATTCCATTGCATTTGAGAGAATATTTAAAGAGCTGGGGAAATGCTCATTATATATTGCTAAGTGGTGAAAGCAAACTACAAAACATATAGTAAGATCTTGGGTGTCTGCTTGGTCTCTGTATGGTACTTTTATTTTACTTCCTTTGTTTTCCATATTTTTCAAAGATCTCACATTTTTCCCCAACATTTTATTATAAAAATTTCAAACATAAAGAAGGGTTGAAAAATTTCAAACATAAAGATGTAGTGAACATCTACATATCTACCATCTAGGGTCTCTGTCATTAATACAAATATTTTGTCACATGTATATTCAGCTGTGTATCTTTCTATCCATCAATCCGTTTTGATGCATTTCAAAATAAGTTGTATGCATCAGTATCTTTCCCCTTAAATACTTCAGCATGCATATTATTACCAGAGTTCAGTATGTGTTTACTGTTTTGTTTTCTTTTAAGGTAAAATTTACATACAATGAAGTGCACAGATCACTCAGTTTTGACAAATGTGAACACCCTGTGAGCCATATGTTTACTTTTATAATTGGAAAACACTCAAGAAAAAAATTCTAGCTCAGTTAATCTATGTCACTTTCTCAGGACGTTCAGGTGAATTGAGTTTTATAAAAC